TGGTTTTATATTTTAATCACCTTACATGAGAGAAAAGGATTGTATAAAAAAGGAACAACTTCTGTTTTTGATATTGGATTCATTTTTCTCCTCTCATTCCTGAGAGATGCAATATTTGGAGTACTGTGTTAAAAATCTGTCATAATTTTGGTCCCTTTTTAAGTGTCTGTGAGATTAGCAAGGTTTAATTCATTTAGACAAGGGAAGGTATTTATAAAAAAAAAAAGAAGAAGAGGAAGAAGAAGAAAAAGGTAAAGATACAAATTATGAACAACAAACATGCATCTATCAACAAGTGAATCTAAGAATCAAGTGAATAAACAATCTGATGTACAAAAAAAAAAGGGGGGGGGGTTGGAAGTTCTGTCCCATTCCCAGCAAATCACAGAACTAGATAAAAACTCCCCACTATATAGACAAGTAAACTGAGGCACTGAGCTCAAATTCCCCTCCCAGTCATACAACATATGGGGCAAAGTTGGGTTCTCACATCTCTTCCTGGTCCAAGTTATTTTATTTATTTATTTTTTAAAAACATATCTTTATTAATTTCAGAGAGGAAGGGAGAGGGAGAGAGACAGAAACATCAATGAGAGAGATAGAAACATCAATGATGAGAGATAATCATTGATTGGCTGCCTCCTGCATGTTCCCGACTGGGGATCAAGCCCGCAACCCAGGCATGTGCCCTTGACCGGAATCGAACCTGGGACCCTTCAGTCCACAGGCTGACTCTCTATCCACTGAGCCAAACCAGCCAGGGCTATTTTATTTCTTAAAACTGACCTTATTGTTACTCCTTTTATAGAAGAGGGAACTGAGATTCAGAGGCTTGTCCAAGCTTACCCAAGTCTACCTGATGACAGCTACTAAGAAATGCTACTCTCCCCCAACAACTCCTACGTAATTGAGCACTTTATGGCACTCAATTTCCAAGCACCCTATTCGGTAGATACCATGATGATCCCCGTTTTACAGGTAAAGAAACAGATTCAGAGAGATAAAATGATTTGCCCAAGTAAGTGACACAAACCCAGGTCAAAGCCTTCCCCTTCACTATACTGAGCAGAATAAGCAGGTCCTATTGAACTCTACAAGGTGTTTCTGTTTCCAAGGAAGATAGTTTCTTCTGGGAAGAGAAAATTTTTTTTTAATATATTTTATTGATTTTTTACAGAGAGGAAGAGAGAGGGATAGAGAGTTAGAAACATAGATCAGCTGCCTCCTGCACACCTCCTACTGGGGATGTGCCCGCAACCAAGGTACATGCCCTTGGCCGGAATCGAACCTGGGACCTTTCAGTCCGCAGGCTGACGCTCTACCCACTGAGCCAAACAGGTTAGGGCCTGGGAAGAGAAATTTATGGCTATTAGTCATTCACACTTTAGTGAGAATTAACAAACCACTGAAGTGGCAGATAATTGGTGTCTACTTTGTAAGTTGAAACAGGGGATGTGACCAGGACAGAAAATAGAGGGACGCAAGCACCTGCAAATGCCTTGGAGATGTGGTCTTTCTTCCACTCCCAGGGCTGATCATACTCATCCGCTGGCCTTTCATCTTCCTGGGGCTGCCGGCTCTGCCCAGGCCTTTGCCCTGAAAAAGGCCTGTCTCCTGGATCCCCATCCTGCTCCTCATAGGGGGTGTCATACAGCTGCACTGCCCTACAGGGCAGTTCTGGGAGGCCAAGGACACTGGTCAGATCCCACTCCCACCTGGGACCCGGTCATCCTCCCCCAAGCCCCGCTCACTCACCACTCACGACCCTCTGGGCATCATAGGGCTCCATGTAGCCATCATCTGGGGGTGGCGGATGAGGCTGGGCATCAAAGGGGTCCGAGTACTCGGTGTCAACTTCTGACTGGGGAGAGAAGGAAAGGGAGACCAGGTGGCTCTGGATACGCCCTGCCCCCTCTGAGCCCTCTGACACACCCCCTTCCAGCAGTTCTCTTTTCTGGGGGGAGGAGGGAGTCTCCGCTACCACCCAGGAATGTTTGCAAGAAAGATGCCAGCTTCCCCTACGCCCTTTCTTCATGCAGTTCTGACCCTTTCCGACATAGACCCCCTCACCTCCTTCTTTCAATCATTTTTTTAAATATATATTTTCATTGATTTCAGAGAGGAAGGGAGAAAGACAGAGATAGAAACATCAATGAGAAAGAATCATTAATTGGCTGCCTCCTGCACGCCCCCTACTGGGGGGATCTAGCCTGCAATCTGGGCCGTGTGCCCTTGGCCAGAATCGAACCTGGGACCCTTTAGTCTGAACCCCGCTAGGGCAGTTTTTTTTTTGTTCATCCTCACCCGAGGATGCTTTTGTCCATTGCTTTTAGAGTGGAAGGGAAGGGGACAGACAGAGAGAGAAACATCGATGTGAGAGACTCATCCATTGGATGCCTCCCACACACATGTGCCTGAACCTGCAACTGAGATACATGCCCGAGACCGGAATTAACCCCGAGACTCTTCAGTCCTCTGGCCAACACTCTCTCCGCTGAGCCAGCCTGACTAGGGCTTCAATAATTTTAGAGTTTATCAGCTGCCAGCACAGTTCTAAATGCTTGATGTATATTTACTTGTCATATCAACATTCTGTAGACACATTATCCCCATTTTACAGATGAGGAAACCAAGGCACAGAGAGGGTAAGTAACTTGCTCAGGGTCACAGAGCTGGTAAGAGGCAGGTTTTGATCCCACGTTGTCTGAGTCCCTGTCTCCTTCTCCCTTTCTCTGTACCATCAACCCAACACAGTCTCTCCTAATCCTCCCCAAATCCTTCTCTGTTTCCATCGAGGGTTTGCAGTGATCCTCTAAGAAAAATACTATAGCCCCGCCGGCGTGGCTCAGTGGTTGAGGGTCAACCTATGAACCAGGAGGTCACAGTTGGATTCCTGTTCAAGGCACACGCTGGGGTTGTGGGCTCGATCCCCAATAGGGGGCATGCAGGAGGCAGCCGATCAATGATTCTCTCTCATCATTGATGTTTCTATCTCTATTTCCCTCTCCCTTCCTCTGAAATCAATTTGAAATATATATTAAAAAAAAGAAAAAGAAAAATACTACAAAAATCATGGGCATTGGAGGCAGGTCTGGAGTTAGACCATGTGACCACAGGCAAATTGCTTCTTTACGGTTCTGTGAGCCTCAGTTTCCAGGTCTGGTAAATGGGAATAATAACAGGCAGTTCAGGGAGTAGTGGTGAGGACGTTTCATTTCAGTGCCCAGTAGGGGAGCGAATGGCTCAGGTCTGTTTTAGAAAGCGTCCCCCAGCTGCCGAGAGGAAGGAGCTGGGGGAGGGGCCTGGAGAGGGACATCAGGGGCAGGACAATGCCCCACAGGCAGAGAGGTGGGGGGACCAGCACTGTGTGCTGAAAGGGGACAGACATCACACTTCGCCCAGCAGCTGAAGGACTGGGGAGTGTTTGTGGTCACACATTCAACATGCTCCCCAAGTCCAGGGCCCAGCCTGGTCCTCCCCGCCCAGTCTCTCAGGGCACCCAGCTCCGACCCTTAGCGACGCACCTCCGCCCCTGCACTGCCCAGCAAGACCTTGGCTCTGGCCACCTCGGCCATGTCGGCTGCCTCCACCTTGATGAGCCGGTGCTTGGGGGAGTCGTACTTGGAGTCCCCGGGGCCCGCAGGGTCTGGCTCCAGGCGGCTGTCCGCGTCCTCATAAGGGTCCTCGAAGTCCAGATTCTTCTGTTCCAGGTAGGCCCGCAGGATGTCGCTTTCCGTGTAGTCGGGAGTGGGTGGCTGCGGAGGGGGCCTCCGACCGCCAAAGCTCAGGTAGTCCCGTAGCCACTTGGCCATTTGTGCCCGCGTCACCCCAACACCTGGCTACTGTAAAGGGGAGACACACATACCCTCTTCCGGGCACCTTCCTCAGCAGATTCCCCGGGGAGGAGGGGGGGAGGGAGGAAGGAGAAGGAGGAAGAGGGAAAGGGAGGAGGTGGAGGAGGAGGGAAGGGGAGGAAGGGGGGGAGGAG